CTCAACAATTTCGTTACCTACGAGAGTGCCGAGTTCTTCCCTGGCTCAAATTTGAACATGGTAATCGGTCCAAATGGTACTGGTAAGAGTTCCGTTGTTTGTGCCCTCTGCTTGGGGCTGGGTTCTTCGCCAAAAAACCTTGGTCGGGCGGATAAAGTGGGAGAATTTGTTAAGCATGGTTCACGGGATGCCTTTATTGAAATAGAACTTCAGAAGAGAAGCAACGAGCGCGAAAACCATATCATCAAAACTCGAATTATCAAAGATGGGAATAGTTGCGAATTCTGGATAAATGACAAGAAAACAAGTCACAAAAATGTTCTAGCTTTGGTCAAGGGATTCAGCATTCAAATTGATAATCTTTGTCAGTTTTTACCCCAAGATAAAGTCTCCGAATTTGCGGCATTGACACCCGTCGAACTTCTGCATCATACACAAAGGGCCGTCGCTGCGCAAGAGATGCTGGACTGGCATGATGAGCTTAAGAATTTGAGGAGAGAAGAGAAATCGAGACAAATGCAGCTTGAGCAAGACAAGGAACAGTTGATTAATCTTGAGAAGCGACAGGCGGGGCTGCGTCCGGAAATGGAACGGCTCGAAGAACGAATTCAAATTGAGAGAGACTTAGAAAAACTAAAGAACAGTATTCCTTTTGTAGAATACAGAGACGCACGCCTTCGATATCAGCAATGCAAGGAAGAGAAGATAGAAGCAACCAAGCGGTTTCGTACTTTGGAAAGCCAGGTCGAACCGACTCTGCGGTTTGTTAACGAAAAGGATTCCTTGGAGAAGGAACTGGCCAAGATCGTGTTCAACCGCAGGAATAGCCTACAACATGCAGAAGCAGAGGCCGAAATTCTCCTAAAGAAAGTAGATGAATGGGATGACAAGATTGGGGATTGTGATCGGAGAATCAAAGTTGTTCTAGAAGCAGAGGATAAACGGAAGAAAGATCTCGCAAAGGTCAAAAGGACCATAATTGACCTTGAAGCCCGCCTGCGAGAACCTGCAATAGAGTTCAATCCCACTGAATATAATCAGAATATCGTGAGTGCCCAATTCATTAACACCCATATAGATCCTTGCTGACTTTTCACCTAGAGAGCAATCGAGCAGGATATCAGAGCCATTAAAGCAACAGTAACGGAGCTCGAACAAAGCAGAGAGGCGCTCAAAGCCAAAGGACGAGACTTACGAGCTGAACAAGACAGAGCAAAGCAGGCTCTTGCTGACTTTGATAGTCAAGCTGGGAAACAGATTAATAAGATTGCACAGCATTCCAGAGATACTGCTACAGCTTGGAAGTGGGTTCAGGAAAACCAAGACAAGTTTGAGAAGGAGGTCTATGGCCCACCCTTGATAACATGCTCTGTGAAAGACCCAAGATATACTGATGCTGTTGACTCATTGTTTCGTTCGAGCAACATGCTCACTATCACAGCACAAACCCAGGCCGACTACAAGCGATTAAACAATCAATTCCATTCGGCGGAAATGAAGCTGGCGGAGGTCAGAATACAAACGAGCACACAGACTCTCGCCGAGACTATTGGTCGGCCTTCGGCTACTACAGCTCAACTGAATAGTGTTGGTCTTGATGGGTGGGCTATTGATTTTATTGATGCACCGGAGCCAGTACTTGCCATGCTGTGTAACGATATCAAAGCTCACAAGACGGCAGTTACTCTCCATGACATCAGTGACGAACAATATGAAAAGATTGTCCGTGCTGGAATTTCATCTTTTTTGACAAAAACTACTTCGTATAAGATTACAACGCGAAGAGAATATGGTGCCATGTCAACCCAGACTTCCGGAATCAATCGAGCTAAATTTTTCGTCGATGGTGCCGTAGACACTTCAGGCCGGCGTGTGATTGAAGAAAATCTTGCAGACCTCGACCGTAAATTCGAATCCCTGAAGAGGGAGGCCAAAGATATCACTGAAAGGATTGTACAGTATTCGAGTACTGCAAACCCGAAGAGGGATGAACTGGTAGGTCGTCAACGGGCCTCGTGTTAGCGCACCTTAATAATGAGATTTTGTGACCAGGATGCGCTTATGAAAGAGAAACAACAAAAGCAGAAAGCTTATGGTGAACAAAGAGCTCTTCCAGGATTGCTTGGTGAGTGGCACAGCTACAGATATACTTGAGCATATACTGACATGGTAGCAGCTCGAGAGAAGGAGTCTTTGGAGAGATTGGAAGCATCTAGCTCTGAGTCTAGGGCGGAAATTCAAGCCATTGTAAAAGAGCAAGACATTGCTGGTCTCAAAAAGGGAGAGCACGTGATGAAACATATCGAGCAAATCAACCAGATCATTGCTTGTTCCGAAGAACTTGACAAGGCCGAAATTCGACGTATTGAAGCAGGTTCGGACGTGCACGCTCTACGAGAGCGCAATAGTGATATTGTAGCAAATCTTGAAATGGAACGTACACGACTAGGGGAAATCGAAGCACAGTCAAAGCGAGCAACCCTGACTGCACGAGCTGCGCTGGAACGATGCAAAGATATCAGAAGAGAGGCTGAGGAGAGAGACGATCAAGACTCTTTGGAGTACTTGTCCAGCATTTCCCCGGATAGGACCGTGGAAACTTTACAGCAAGAGATTAACAGCGAGGAACATAAACTCGATTTTATTCAAGCCAACAATCCGAATGCTATTAGAGAGTATGAGAAACGCCAGGTTGACATTGGTCGATTAAACACCAGGATCGCTGGGACTGAGGGCGAACTTGGAGATGTCGCGCAGAAGGTTACTGAGATCATGACAAAATGGGAACCGAGACTTGATGCACTTATTGAACAGATCAGTCAGGCCTTTTCCCATAATTTCGAGCAAATTGGATGTGCTGGTGAAGTTAGTGTGTATAAAGAAGACGATTTCGAAAAATGGGCAATTGAGATCAAGGTCAAATTCAGGTACAGTCATTTTATTAAAACATCTCAGATATGCCAGCTTATTAACATCATAACAGAGAAAACGAAACCCTTCAGCTCCTTGATAAGCATCGTCAATCCGGAGGTGAACGCTCCGTTTCCACAATTTTCTACCTCATGTCTTTACAATCACTTGCTCGCTCTCCCTTCCGCGTCGTCGACGAAATCAACCAAGGAATGGATCCTCGTAACGAACGAATGGTCCACGGACGTATGGTCGAGATTGCATGTCAGGAACATGATAGCCAGTACTTTCTTATTACGCCAAAGCTACTACATGATTTGAAATATCATCCTAGAATGAAGGTTTTGGTCATTGTCAGTGGTGAACATATGCCAGACGACCAAAAGAATTTTAGTGTGAAACGCACGCTAGAGATAAGAAGACGTATGAGAGGTATTGCTGCTGCGTGAGTCTTAACGTATCGGACTGGAGTTCTGGGTAAGGTCATTGGTAATGAATCCTAGGGGCGGGGTTATGGTGTTCTGGTGTATAAAAGGGATCTTTTACAGAATTTGTTGTGTTTCATAATGTTATGATACCCATGATACTAGGAATCTATGGCTTGGGGTGGCTCTGTATGACACGTATTTCAGTTGATGATGATGCCCTCCGAGTTTACATATAGCTCAATGTAAACGTTTCTTTCGTACAGGCTGATATGTCTTAGTTATTTATGTAATCTAATCCATCTATCAGACTCAAAACACTAACCAAGCCAATACATTGGTCTTTCTAAATGATTATCTCCAAGTTTCTCTTTCTCTCTCTTCTTGACGTTTTCTTGAACTCGTCCCTTTCACTTAGGTACCCACCTTGCCCGGCTTCGTTTCCAAGGCTTCCGAAGCAGGCCCTGTTTGTTGAAACAATCTTGAAAGTGTTATCTTACAACACGAGCTTTTTCTCGGCCCTTCGTGACTAAAAATAATGACGGTCTCGCTGGCGCTCTCTGTAGTTATTTTCAATACTACTCAGAAATTATGTTTATGTTCGTGCTGTGTAGCTTTTAAAGTACTGAATTGTAGAAGATTTCTACTATTTAATAGGAATTTCGAAGTTATTTAGAGATCTAAAGCTTTGTGTGAGAATGGTCTATATATTGACTAGAGTAAAGTAAAGTCAACTTATACATTTTATAAAACTATTAATAACATAATAGTCTATACGAAGAGTCCGCTAGTCTTTTACTTATAATCTATATAAAATATTAAAAGTATTATTAAATTTGAAAGTTTTTTCAATCTTTTCAATCTTTTAAATAATTATATTAATCAAATCTATTTCATATATTTTCTTGTTAAGCTTTAGATCTGACTCTATATCTAATATTTTTAATATTCGCACATCCACCTTGCGTACTTTCTAGACCAATAAGCTTCCAGTTATAACCCGTGATTTAAAATATGAGTCTTATAACATGTTTATACTTTATACATTTTTCGTCTTTTTATAAGTTCGAAAAAGAAATCGTAGGACGGATTATGTGATACTCAAGACGCTGGCAATCTTTCATATCTAGAGACTCACAATTTGAGATAAGCTGCTCTTGAATCAACACAATAGTACCAATTTTCTTTCGATGATTCAAAGCATTGTGGAAGCATTTTAGAGGTTTCAGCAATGGGGCTACACAGCCTATCAATTACCAATTGAGACATCAATTCATCGCATTTTACTAGAGAAAGATTATAAGCTTTCCAACAATCTACAGAGCCGATTTTCCAAAATCCGTTTCATGATCGTTCCTCCCCGCGTCTCAGACATTCGCTCTAGAATGTAATGAGAGCACCGTTTCGCCAAGAATTCAATTATAGTGCGCACGAAGCGTGTGTAAATCTTCAATCGAATCGTATCCTAGTACAACTGACCTAAGGATATTATTCAGTCCCTCCCTGTCGAATCTATTGTCCCATGAAGCTAGTATGTCGGCAACGGGGCTGGTTCCTCAGTAGTCTCCTTATTCCAGTATCTATCCACGCTATTTTTGAGCTGCTAGATTTCACATCTGGCGAGGATGGAATAGTGTTTGATGTATCGAGGTTTTCTTCTTGATCCTAGAATTTCCGCTTTTTGAACGAATGTCCGTCCTTTTTTCCCTGCAAATCGAATTCCCAGTTATTCCTAAATGTTTTCTCGAGTTCTTCATCCAATTCTTTCCGAATGGCTTCCCTATGTGAACTAACAAGGATTTCTCTCTTATCATCTTCTTTTTCCCTTCCATGGTTCTCATCCCTGGTATGCTTCTTCGTTCGGTGACCCTCCGTTTCATACTTATCTACTTTTTTGTCTTCCATCTCGTCCAATGCTTCACCCTCTTTGTTTTCGTAACCATCAATTCTGTGATCCTCTATTTCCCCCTCCGATTCGTCCTCTCCCTTCTCATTCTCTTCCCTCCCATGCTCACCCGATACATCGTCCCCATTCATTTCTTCCTCGTCCATTTCGTCCTCGCCCAATTCGTCCTCGCTCAATTCGCCGTCGTCCATCTCGTCAGAGGCCAAATTTGCGTCTATCGATGCTAAATGGGCTCTCGCTTCCCTCAATTCCATATCTAATTCTTCTCGTTCAATCCTCAATCTTTCAATCCTCAAATTTTCAGCTCTTAATCTTTCGATTCGATAATCTGTTCCTGCTATCCCAACTTGTAAATGGTCGAACATCAGCCTTAATTTTATCACCTGCGTTTGATCATGATTCTTCAGTAATGGTCTTATAAGTCTTAGGATATCCATTTTAAGCTTGAGCCTAGCGTCTTTGAGCCTAGGGTTTATGGATATATCCGAGTGACAAACAGAGGTATTAGAAGAAGATGATACATTATTTGCAAAGCGTTCTGCGACAGGATCAGTTCCTGCATAATGAAAAGTGGGCGATATATATTTCTAGTCTTCGTATTAGGGAAATACATTCTTCAGAGTGAATCTTTTGAAATGACATACCCATTCCGAGTCTGCAGGCGTGAGGATTGGAATAATTGGAATGCTTTGATCAGGCACCTTCTGTAAGTTTCTCTAAATCTTGCGTTGGCATAAAGGGACTAATCGAACACAAGCTTGACATACCTGCGCTTCTTGGTTTCGATTTTCATAGCCACGGGCGGCCATCAGCCGCCATAGCATATTTATTAATGAATCGAATGTATGTATGACTTGGTGTATTATCAACTTGAAGCGTCTAAGTATTCAAATCCCCGAATCCGAATCACAGGTGTGGTTCGTATTCGATGCATGGAAATCATAAAATAGTCGACTGGTTCGCTATGCTGTGCGAAGTTGGTTGTGGATATTTTATTCTTATGCTCCTTTGGTAAGTGATACTCAACACATCGATATTTTGAACTGGGGTTAACTGCTTGAAAAATGTATATTTGTGATGTAGTTAACGGGCAGTGTGGAGTCGAGGAAAACATATTTATCCTTTTGATTATCACTTCCCCCGAAACTTGCGCAAATTATTTTTGTTTCACAGAAAGTGCAAGTCTCGTTCTAAATGTATAAAACTTACTAAGATGGTAGTATGAGGCTCCAGTGACCTTGCGAAAAGTATACTTGAGTATCGCTCTTTGTAATGTCGATGTGTGCCTTCGCCCAAAAGAATCATTTGAACCATTCGGGGACTGTTTCTGCCTGTGGTTTGGATCATCGATGATCAGCTAGGCCCGAATCAAGTATATCAAGCTTCAAAACGCAGCACTGAACATTCAAGATTGATAAAAGATTTTTTTGGCCGAACTTAACACAGTGTACCTACCGGAAACGAAAGTTGTGAAGTATTTGTATATCCCCAATTGATGTTGTGTTTCCAAAATTGAAGATTTGTGTCAAGCATATGAATCGAGAAGAGGAAATTAGCGTGAATACCCCCGCAGAGGGAAAAACTGAGATTTTGGAGATGAGAGAAGTCCCTGTGTTGTAATAAGGAGATTACGAGTCGTTCTAGGTGGTGTTTGGAAAATAGTAAAATATGGGAGTATTGAAAGTGTCCATGGGAAATCCTCAATCCATTCGATTGGAGTTTATGGAGGAAAGACCTTTGTCGAAGAAACTCAGTAGGCCGACATATCTGCGGGTTTATGCATACTATAATCCGGACGACACAGGCGGTGGCTAGGCAACACAAGCGGTATCAGAACAAAAAATTATGAAAAAAGCAGAGATGCCATGTGACAGAGCCAGAAAAGATAAAACCGAATTTACTAAAATTATGACGCCTGCCAAAGCGGAAGGAACATCAAATTGGCAGAACCTTCCTCGTGAGAAATTCTCATGCACTTGCTAATCTTAATCCATCATTCTCAATTGAGAACAAATTTGACTGAAGTCATACGACCCATGAATCAAAGTTTTCAAACACCTATGTCCAAATTTTATCTCAATTCCGATATACAATTGTTAGAAGCATTGGCAAACGATGAAGAAAGCCAATGGAGCAGAGAATACTTTCCACCGCTTTCCTGACTTGTATCCCGAAGTACGATATCAAATCTGGCATTATACTCTTGCTCTTTTTCCTCGAATCATTGAAGTCAGACCACGCACGACACCGACCGAAGCATGGGATCCCCTTACCACCAAACATCATGTTAGAGTGACTGCACCTATTGTCCTCCTACAAATCAATCACGAAGCTCGAGAACTGCTATTGCCATTTTATACTTTGCTTAGCTCAGACGTGATTCTTACCCCGATCTTCCATCATCACCGAGCTTCTCCAAATCCTCACGAGAAGCCACCTATGGTCAACTTTGATACGGACACTATATATTTCAGCGTAGCTTGGAGTACTACTGAAAAAATCCCATATCTGTCATTCATACAACGATTGTTCCGAAACTTCGATCAAGATAAAAAACGAGTGCGAAGACTGGCGGTGGATAATTCCTCAGAGTTGTCGAACTTGATAGACTTCCCTTTCAAATCGAGACAGCCTACAAGCGGCGAATATGGCATCACGACCATCCCGGAATTGCAGAGTTTGAAATATTCATATCATGAACAGATGAGGTCGAAAGATGACGAATATAGCGCCGAGAACCCTATATGGTTCTCTTTGGATTCGAGACATTCTAATGATTGCCAGGTCGCCCCGGAATCTTGTTTATCAAATATGAACTCGGCTCTCTTGGAGTTCAAGAACTTGTATGAATTGGTCATAGTTGTTAAGCCTACTCACTTGAGGGCTGACGTAGTATTGATTTGCTTTGTAGATCTGGGGAACGCCAGCATTGGAGAGGAAGAGGAGTGTATCAATATCCTACGTACACTGGGATCCGGAGGGTGGAAAGTACCCAAAATAAGAATTTGTGCAACACATGTAGCTCCAGGAAACAATCGAAAAATGGAGTCACAGAAAGCCTATTTGGAGAGATTATATGGAAAGGCTTTCGTTTCGAGTTTCACTGGAAAATGATATTATAAGCAAAACAGAATGTAGAAAATACACAGAATGGAAGATCCTCGCATTCGGCTTGACGGTTTAACCGATATTATCCGACGCTTGATTATTTCTTCGAGTTGAGTGTATGCAATTAATTTATATTTTGGTTTAACGCATCTCGTTTTCAACAAGTTGCCTTAATGGTAAAATGACCAGTTCGAGATCACTCGAACATCACTCTCGGTCGTCTAGTTGGTTTATGACGTCAGACTGTAATTGTTCATTGTAATCTGGATGTCGCGTGTTCGACTCACGCCTGAGAGAAATACATTTTTGATTTCTTTTGACGCGTTTGCTTTTTGTTTTTGCTGTGAGAGGCGTGGCGGAGATGAGAAATTGCGGGTGGATATGGTTTGTGGAGCTGAGATGGAGACATACTGTAATCTTACCTAGGTAGAAATAGCCGAGTGTCGTCGATGGGGAGATATTTCAAAGTTGCAGCCATATTGTCATCTGTCTACTCGGTGTCGTTTTGAATGAATGCCGACCTCAAATTTAGACGAATTTTTCTATCAAATTCGTGTTTATTCAGCATTTTCAAGATTCAATATCAAAAGAATCAATATAAGCTTCTTTTTCATTTCTTTTTTAATGGAATTAGAATCTATTAATATATCATATATCAAGATTTCAGATCTTCAAATATTATATTGAAGAAATGATAATCAAAAAAAAATCAGATTCGAAAAGTGGTATTTTAGGCCTTAATTTTAAGGAGTTAAAGCCTGAAAGTTAGCGAGTTCTGTCTCCATACTACTAATTATTTTATTTCTTAAATAATTCAAAATTGAAATGGGATTACTTTATTTTTGAGAAGATATAACGTGTTTTATCACCGAGTGGATTATATCACTGAGTGGATCACTTTCACCTCAATTTATCACTTTAAACTTATATTATTCAACAACAATTAAATCAATTAATTAAAACTATTAAGAATCTAGTAATCTAGGATCTATTATATTGTTTTAATAAGTTCTTGAATTATAATCTGATTTTCCATATTTATTATAATATCTATTAGAAGATATTTCCCTAATAGGATTTCCTTTATTTTAATGCTTATTGTATTAAATCTGAATATCAATCTTTTATTAAAATAATATATTAAAAGCTTTTTATTCAATAAATACTTCTCCTTAATGTAATTGAGTTTTTTTTGTATATTGATATTTACTTAATATCTTATTTGCTATTTAAAGTATACAAATCTTTATATTTAAAAGTATATTCTTATAAGCTAATCTCTCTATATTCTTAGCTAAAACTAATATAATTTCAAATATAGATATAAAAGAGTTTAATTAATAATAAATTATTTGAGATTTAATTAATATTAATTAAAAAAGAGCTTCAATTGAATTACAAAAAATTTGAGAGATTTATTAATCTATATTGAAAAAGGGGGGGGTAGATATATGAATTTGAATATCTAATTTCGAAAATATGATTTTAGGGTTAAATGATATTAAACCTATTCCTCGAAATCCTGATTTCATATTTTAAAAGATAATTGATTCTTTGTATATAGTTTTAAAAGCTATAAAGAATTCAATTTTTGAAATATAATTAATATATACCTTAATAAATCTATTAATTTAATTACTATATAAATATTTCAGATTATTAAAACAATCTATATCAAATAATTGAATTAAATAATTTGAATGTAATAATAAATATAAACATATAATATTATTCTCTTTATAATATATTTGAAAAGCTTTTGATTTATAGTTTTTATATCTATTTAATATCAATATTTGATATTTACTCTTTTTTTAATTCTTAATATATTTATCAAAATATTTCAATCATTTTAAACCTGTCTCATTATTTGTCTATCCATTAAATATAGATTTAATAGTCTAATCCATAGGAAAATCGATTTCGATATATTAATTAAAAAGATAAATTTATTCTTAAATTATTAGAAATAGAGATATAATTTCATCCTCTCTATTACTATATATAATTACTATAATCTATTCTTTATTACCTGATTATATTATTTTGTTTTTATTATTTCATTTAATATTAGTTATTACCATTTCAGAATATATTATATTTATTATAAAGCTTATTTTATTAAAGTTATAGAAATTATAGTTGAGAATACTATATTTCATTTACATATTTGAAACTAATTAAAATCATTTTTTAATAAACTTAGAATCTTTATAGAAAACTCTTTAAAAGTTATAAATATAATTAAAATATATTTTTAATTCAATTTAATTCTTTATAAATTAATATATCTAAAGCTTTTCAATATACTTTGCATTCCTCAATTCAAAAATATAATTCACTATATCTTTTATTATTTTAAGTTTAGATAAAAACCCTCTTGAATTCATATTAAGTATATATTAAATAATCACTTTTTTTTCTAATTCTATAAGATTATAATAATTCACTTAAGTTTTGATACAAAAAATAAAATCATTTATTCTATAATTAAATATTATATATAATAAATTATATAATTTAATAACTTTTCAAATATTAAGTTTTTTGTTTTTTTAAATAGCTTCAATAGCTAAAAATATTCAAGTTTCTTTATTATTCGATTGTATTTCAATTAATTGATAAAACACATATTGAAATGAGAGATCAACAATTGAGATAAAAGTGATCCACTTAGTGATATAATCTACTCAGTGATAAAACATGTTATATAAAATTTGATTAAATATCTAGCTAGCTATAAGATCTTATATCTTTATTCTTTTTGTTTAAATTGATATGGAATTTTGAAACAAGTGACTTTTAATGGTTTTTAGTGTGATATACACTAGCCAAATTGAGGTCGGTATTCATTCAAAACGACACCGAGTAGTATGTTTCGGTGGAGGCTCAGAATACAGTCAGCACTGACAATTATTATCTACAAATTTTAGGGACATACCATATTGACAGTCTCGCCCTTATTAAACGTTGTTTGATTTGCTGATATGAGATATAGTAGGCCTTCATATTGAGAATTCGCTTGCTTATGTAATAGACTTGATTGGAAGGGAGCATTGGTGGAAGATGATGCTGGTATGTTGTTCATGATCGTGAGTAGCCAAGCACGATGGTATGGTATCTTTGAATAACAATTTAAATACCTACGTTAACGAGCTTTTCTATCTTTCATACTTTTCGAACGTACGATATATTTGCAACTGAACTCCCATCAATTGTTTTACTGGTCCACGGGTAACCTTGAAATCGTCCACGGGTGTGTAGGATGTGTGGCTAGTGTGTGTGGCTCATTAGCTTGTCAATCCATCCATGGATCTTCACAACGCAAGTATTGATTGATTGATTGATTGATTGATCGATCTATTCGTTTGTAAGATCTTACTTGTGCGGAAACCAATGAATGAATAAAGCAATCATCATTTTCAAGCTCTTTTTAACCTTACATGCCTCGTTAAAGAATATGAACTTTTCGAAACCTCCAATACCCGACTACCTAGTACGCAAAACACGAGTATCCGAGAAACTAACCGATATCCCTGCTACGTGCACGACCCTACTATGTGCACACTTTTATTATTTATATAGAAAATTGAATTAAAAATTGAAAAAGCGATATTATAATTTGAAATTCAAAATTGAGATAATTGAAATAAACTTATATAATATTTTGAAATAAAAAAATTAAAAATCTCAAAAATTATAATAATAATAATGATAAATAAGATATTAATTTTTATAAAAAAAATTATTTATTTATTAATATATTTTATAATATAATTAAAAATATAAGTTTTTTTTAATGAAATTATAAAGTTTTATATATTATAATATAAGATATTTGAAAAAAACTAAAGTTTTTTATCGAAAATTTGAAATTATATTAATATTAAATTCTAATATATTTTATAAAAAATATTTTAATAATTAATTATTAATAGAATAATGAATTTATAATATTTTATTCTATTTTTAAGTTATATAATAACAATAATCTTTAAAAAAAATATAAATATATTAAAATCTATAATTTATTAATATTAAATTTAAATAAAGATTTATAAAAACTTATTAGGAATTTGATTTAATCTAATAATAAATATAATATAAATATTTATTAATTTTTTTAAGAATTTCAATCTTAAACTTTTTTGTTATATAGTTTTTAATCAATTATTAAAGAATGAAACTATATTGATCAGATTTTGATTTAATAAAAAATTTTAAATTTCGAAAATTAAATTATTAATTAATATTAAATTAATTTTTATTTAAAATAATTTTTTTAAAAATAAATTAATAATATTTTGAATTGAAAAAAAATTCTTTTTAAAGAATTTTATTTTAAAAGAATTTTTATATAATTAGAATCTTATTATATATAATAGAATTAAGATTTAGATAATTTTAAAAATAAAATTTCAAAAATAAAAGATATTTTTTAAATAATTTTCTTTTATTAATCAAAACTCTATATATTTTAATATTTAATATAATCCCTTTTTTAAAAACTTACTTTTAAATCTTTAATATTAAATATAAAATTTAAATTTATTTTAAAAAATATTTTTAACTTTTCTAAAAATATTATAAATCATTAGAAAAATCTAAGAATCTATATTAAATTTAATTCTTTTTACTTTTTTGATTTTTTTGATTTTTTTATAATATTATTAATATCAAAAAATCTATAAAAATTTATTATAATTCTATAAATAGATTCTAATATATTATTTATTAAGAAATTATATATCAAGATTCTATATTCTCTTTATTTAATTATTCAATCAATTCTTAATTTAATAATTCAAAATCCTTATAAATTGAAATTGATAATATTAATTAATTATTGAATTAAATTTTATATTATTATAATGATTTTTAAATTTTAAATTGATTTTTGTTTTGATATAAAAAAAAGTGTGCATATAGTAGGGTCGTGCACGTAGTAGGGATATCGGTTATATTGTCTCCCAGATCCTAACGAACCAACACGTCCACGCCACTATAGTTCTCTTAAGATCTATCAACGTTATGCATCTCCTTGTTAAATTTGCAGCCTTTTCCGATTCTTGCACACGCCTTCTCAGGGCATTGATGCCCGAGTAAACAATTTTCATCTTCGCAATTCAACTTGGAGGGACATGGTTTGAAGCGTGAGATGAATCGTCGAGCGTCAATCGCTTTTTTGTCAAGCCTTTTCCCATGCAAGAAGTTACACTTCTCATACGGACATTCTCCCAGAATGTGAAACATGTTGCAATGTTTTGTGTTTCTCATCACAGTAATGAGTGATGAAGGCGGGGAAATGATGGCATCGAGACGCTGCCCTTTGCGATTCCGAAGCACTTTATACTTACTTCGTACCGGAACAGCCACTGAAGAATCGCTGCTTTCCTCCATACTTACAGCATCCGAAACGACATTACCCAGCACTCTTGCAGCATAGCTGGGCGTGTCTGGAGTGGAACTTCTAGGAGGTGTGGTTGGTAATGATACTCGCCGGATTGATAATTTTGTGTTTCTAAACACATCCGGAAAGCGAGCAACGAGAAACTTTTCCTTCATTATTGCTAATTCTTTAGCAAATGGAGGGCCTTCGAGCAAAACAATTCGATTGCTCTTTGCGGTATTTCCTACATATGGCTGGAGAATTCGCGCATAGCCATTATCTGCTGAACCACCAAAGATGACCGCTCGGCATTGGGCATCAGCCATGTCGTGCGTGAAACATTCTACGACGAGTGTCAGTAACGAAATGTCCTTTCCAACGGATTTAATGTTCGATGAATTTAGGAAAACTACCTTTCAGCTTCGAATCCGCACACTCCTTCCCATCACCCGCATCCACAAAATCACACATGGGGTGTCCCATATTGAAACCGCGAACAAACATATCAAAATTATCTGCGCTACCTATACTTTCATTGTGATTGTAGGCCGATGCCAAGCCTTTCTTATTTGCATACACTCGAATGCGGATTGAAATCTGGCTTGGTAACTCGAGCTCCGTTGAAAGATATTCGCACAATTTTGTTCTTAGGCGATGGACGGTCTCTAGCCCCCCTTGCTGAGAAGATTTGATGAGATCATCGCAAAACTTTCAATATTCAGTGGCTGGTGAAGTACGAAGTTGATGGTTTAAAAAAGTTGCATCTGTACATACCGTCATGCAATCACCATCAATCAAAACCGACACATAACTATTGGAGTCCTTCGAGCATTATCAATAATGATGTTCCCAAGAGCAATCATTAGGCAGCCATACAATTCTTTCTTCGAGTCTCGCAAGATTCACCTGAACATCAGAGAGTTTCGACTGGTACAATTTCGCAGTATCCTGTTCTCTCTCAAGATGTAACTTTGTCTCCGTCAGGCCACTTTCCAACTCGTTGATGCGGGCAAACAATTTCTACCAATAAAATTGTCCGTTAGTAATGTGCGGGGCAGAAAGACAAACGACTAACCCCAATGAGTTGATCCTTTCCCTCCTCAATCTCTTTCAACTTATGGAATTGCTCCTGAAATACTTCAAGAGAAACCATGGCTAACTTCGACAGCCCAACACATTAAGCAGACAACTTTCACACTTTCATGAATACATACTCGTAAAAACTCAAAAGCAAGTATTTAAACAGAATCGCAGAGGCGCGGAATGGGCACCTTCGCTTTACATGTCATGTGAAAAATATGCAATACTACCCTAGATTTGGTTCGATGTTGTTACCAAAGAAGCCCTGCACAAAGCCTTACTTCAAACCGATTTGGAAATTCATGCATATGCTTCGCCAATAGACTGTATCTTCGTGTGAGTGCACGTTATGATGGCAAATTCTGTGGCCCTTGACTTCATCTACGAAAATTTAAACCAATTGCAGCTCGTAATTGATATGTGGTGTGTTTTAAAGGTCTATGGCCAGGGCCTTTTGCTTCATTTGCTTCATTTGCATATACTATTATGAGTTCGACACAGCCTTGCGCGCGCTTACAACCCTGTAAATAAGTACATTTCTTTACTCCAAACTCCAAGGTTTCAGCAATCTCTTCAATTCTAGCATATTCTTGACACAACTTCCGTCGCGACGGTAGAGTCAGGAGTTCCTGGGTACTGATAAGTCTGCACCTCTCCACCACTGCTTTTAGGTCAGTTATATGCTTTTAATGTCCTTTCCTTGAATTGTTCCGCCGTCAACTTCGGGAGTGTGATTGAGTATTGAGAGCATAATCAGTAAGTGAAAAGATCTACATATTCTCTACTCTGCATAATATCTGCGCAGGGCTTTAGCTATGCTGTGCCAGGCAATCTGTATTCCCACGCCTTTTATACGAGAATACGAGGCAATGCAGTCATAACTGGATTTCTCGAGCGATTTGAATGATCTGATTTTGCGTTTGTTCTTTACATTCACGTGGTCACTCTTCAATACACTTCATCTACTGCATCTTTCTTCACGTACCAGATCACAGACAGTCAAGATATATCGATTTTGGTTGGATAAATTCCTCAATTTTATTATATCAATCTGTATCGCGCATGTGTGAGATCTGCCATCCGCCATATGGAGTATTTCACACACGAAAATAATTACAAAACAAAATTCAACTGCACTGGTGTGAGATCTACCATCCGCTATATGGAGTATCATATTCACACCAAAAAATAACAAAACAATTTTAACTCCGCCCGTGTAAGATCTACCATCCGCTATATGTAGTATCATATTCACACCAAAAAATAACAAAATAAGTCCCAGCAAACAAATCAAACAAATTTCCCAACTCCGGAGCATCCAGAGCCTTGTATCTCTCACTTCAAATTATTCTTGCTTTTCTCCATCCTTGGGTCCAAATAATTTCCAAGCAAGGGCTGTTTTCTCCTCCTCCTTGGCTTTCTTCTTCTCAGCATCCGTTTTGAGACCGCCAAATTGATGAAATTCTTTGGCATATTTCTCATCGGCAGCTTTCTTCTCCTCGGCTTTCTTCTTCTCAGCTTCCTTGTCGACTCCGGAAAATTGATGAAATCCTTTGGCGTGTTTCTCTTCGGCGGCTTTCTTCTCCTCGGCTTCTTTCTTGAGATCTCCATGTCCGCCGTATTGATGGAATTCTTTGGAATACTTTACATCTGCTTCGATTTCCTTCTTTTTCTCCTCCTCTGGAGTAAGGTGTACTGGTGGTTTGGGTCCGAAGAATGACCATTTGAAGACTTGGATCCACAATCTCTTTTCAATGGGGTTCTTCTCTGCCTTGGTCTCCATTTCCCTTGAAGTAGGATTCTGGATATCCTGTGTCGTCAACGTTCTCTTTTCGGCTGGCACATGGTTCAAATCATACCCCTTTCCAGCTAAACAAACAGTTCCTGGAGCCATGTTTTGAGCAACACTCCAGGTACCGCTAGCACATTGCTGGAAAGATGTTCCAGAAATACAGCTGAACTTGCCTGCATTGGTGCAAGTGCCCTGCTGTTCAGCCTTGAGCTCGATGATATCGTCAGCTTCGAATTGAATAGTGTAATTGTTGTTTTTGTAATCATCCGACTTGATCTCAGAATATTCTTGACTTGTAGATTGAGAAGCGGTGACTTCAGGTTGAGTGGTGGTTGATTCGGATCGAGCAGTAACAACTTCAGCCTGGGTAGTGTTTGATCCAGATGGAGAAATGGTGACTCTAGATCGGAGAGTGTTTGCGTAGGACTCGGGATAGCCAGAGCTACAATGATAATTGCAGAGGCCAGCAACGTATTCTCCCATCATGCCCTTTGGAGTCATACCATGTCCGACCCCACCAGGTTCGAAAAATTCCTTTGGTGGACATTTTTCACAAAACTCTTCCCAAGGCATTAATCGCATGTACTTGACGGGCGTTTTTTGAGAATCACGTTCTTCAATCTTAGATTCTGATTCTTTGTTGGCAACACCACCGCATGTGTCACAGCGTTCTTGCTACGATTTGTTAGCTAAAGTTTACTCGGTTGAAATAAGAGTCCAATGGTCTGAAGCACAGAACTAGTAAGACAATAAGAAGTTTCAATGACCCAAGCAAACTTGGTGCCTCAAGTGACTTGAGTGATCCATTCAAGTTCGGATATTGAATGCTTCTGATTGCTTGTCTGTATTGAGAGTATCTAAGAAGAGATGGAAGTATAACTTACAATTGGTAAAGCTTGTACTGAGTTAATGGCCAAGATGGCAGTGATGGCAACTTTTGAGAAATGCATACTGATATCTTGTTGTCGTTGATGTTAAAGTGTTGTTGTATGTCGAAGTGTTGTTGTATGTTGTAGTGTAGTAAGAGTGTATGCGTTGTCTTGATCGATGTTTGATATGAATGGATTCAAAACAGAAGTCAGAGAAGTACGGATTTTCCATTTCTTTTATAGAATTTGAGAACTCTGGCTATCTGTTCTTTAGAGCTACTAGGTAACAAAGTTTCAATAGTTTGGAGATATTTTTCGTTCTTCTGGGAACTATGAGATGTGATCTACTCGAGTTTAGTAGAAAGTCTTGAAATCACACCAAAAGTTTGCTCTAAAAATAAGATTCCGATGACGATCTTGCAATGGTTCGTAGTTCACTAGGTGATGACTCAATTATTGCGTGCTTGGAGATCGTAGATTAACTAATTGAAGGCAAGTATCTCCTTTGATGTAGGTAATAGTGAGTAAAAGTCCTCTAGTTTTTCTTGATGCGGGGCGATAGATCTCCTTCATCGAAGCTAAGTTCAAGCTTCCATCACCATTTGTTGGAGTCCCAGATGAGTAATAGTTGCATTTAGTACGTTATTAGTTTTTCAAGTTGAAGGATTTCGATCTAAGTGGTTGACTCTACACATCATCTCTGTACTGGTGCTTTCTCTTTGTTCCGAAGTTGGAAAAACTCGGTTATTGTGTCAAATGAGAACATTATCCATCTCTGGCAAGATCTTTTTCTTCAATGCTAGACTCTGAATAAAGGCTTGGAAACACAGAAACAGCATATCTGTCTTTTAAAAATGAAAACTAAAATTCAACAGTGCTCATATTATACCTATCTTCTGATCGGACAGAGAAAAATCTAGCCAAACTTCATTGCTAGTTGCTAGCGCCTCTTACTCAATCCCCGCTGATCACATTTTACGGAAATTGACGGATCAACAGAGATTTCATATACCTACCTACCATTCATTGAAAAGAGTTAAGCGTTCATTCTAAACCGAGAAATTATTGTAGAGATGAATCTCAATCTCTTACTTATTCCTCAAGCCCCTAGCCTTTCCCTAAAAGAAACACCACATTACTTTTCATCCAACTCTCCCCGAGATCTCTTCAGACTTAACAGATAAACATACTCATTAGGAATCCCCATACCCCGCACGCTAGAACTGCAGAGCCTCATCTACATGTATCTCCACAGTAACCATCAATTACCGTTTCGCCACCCACTAGTACGCTAGGAGCTCGACGATCTCCACGTTAAACATTGTCTATTATGAAGATCGTGATCTAACTTACTTCATCCAAACTTAAAGTATTGAACACCGTTTCCATGATATAGTTTCGTCATTTCTTATGGACTTTCGGAACGATCTAGGTAAGTTCTCTTAGTCTATCACCTCATATCTCGCGATCTAGCTCTCGCTCTAGCTCTAGAGAATCGGGTGAAAAAATCTGATTTTGCATGTCTCCAAATCATCTCCTCCAGGATCATCGCCTACTCGAGTGAATTAGTGCTCAAATATTCCTTGGAGAAAGTATATGGTTGGCTAATCACCTTCACCGACTGAGTGTGGACATCTGTTTTGATGGTGCGAGATAACATGTCAGTGATTGGGACATGATTTAATTCATGCATTCAGTAGATCCGAACGCTCGAATCAGTTGTATGAAAATTCTGGTTTGAAGTAAAGATTAGGTTGAGATTGTATGAGATTGGAAAAGAAAGCCTCTGTTCCGTATTTTGTCTATCTCGTTCACGGCACGTCGCCTATTTCTGCCACAAGAATCAGTAGGTTAAGACTCGAAAAGTCTAGCCAGTATTTGTGGTTGTTACACATGATATATAAGCCAGTCATACATTTAGTAGAAAATTACCCTTTTCGGAAGATTGCAGAAAGATGATTGAGATTCTCCAGTACAATACTCCATAGTATGACACTAACTCTGGTGAAGTTTCGGTGTTTGTTGCATATCTGTATTTTCTCTCGTATGTTGTCTTCATTAGACTAGTACAGATTCCTTTTGTACCTTTGGGAATCGACGTGTAATTGATGAACATACCTTGCCTTTGGTCATTATACGTCATGATCTACTATTACGGAATCCGGTAAGAATACGTAACTGATTGTATCATATCCGTCATTTACATGAGATAGTGAAAGTAACAATCATGCTCCTGTTCCCCGATCAAATCCGAAGTGACGATTCCAATTCTGATTTTTCCTCTGCCATATCATATCTCATAGGCTGGAACTAAAAGTTCCTGTGAAACCTATTCGATTCAAATTCCCATCTTCAATCTCCCCGTCAAATCATTCCCCTTTCAATGTATGACTCAATGGGTCCAGCAGACGGCACTAAAACACCAAGGAATTCGAAAACCTCTACATAACATCATACCCCGTGATTCTACAATAAAAATATCTTTTGATGCCCATCTACAATTCACCCCCTTCTTGAGTTCCTATTTTGGTAAGTTACTTCCTATTTAGGAACGCTAGTTGGAGGAATCACTACCCACGGCATGAGTGTGTATTTTGGAATCTTGTCTATACATATATGATGTGACTTGGTCAATTGATCAAATTGATGAAGATAACTCCAAGTGATAGGTAAATTGTATTATTTGTGGCTCACTCTTCTTTAGAGTGTTTCTGAGGATATAGTTCCGAAGAATATTTCTCTTGAATTTTTATTCGTACTATGGACTATCTATCTGTATATCATAAACCACAATAACAAAACAAACATCCTGAGTTGAACATTCGACATGTATGCTCTTCCGCAACAATCATTCCACAATCCCAATATGCCAATAAAAAATCTCAATCCTTCCATTACCCCTCAGTTTTTCCTGAAATCATCAGCTCAGCCTTTACCATACATCTACGAATTCACTCCCAACCAGTCACCCCCAATCATATACCCCGGAACTTTCCATACAGTAGAAACATAATTCAAGGAAGAATCGAGCCTCTCTCTCTATGTCCCGTGATTTCCACCATTTGTTGCACGTCTACAAATCACCCCCTTCTGGATTTCCTATTTGGGAATAGTAGCTTGGGGAAGTACTACCCATGGAGTTTCGACTGTTGCACTCTATAATTTTCATTCTTGAATTTTATCTTGTGTTGTTTATTTATCTATTAATATTTTCTTACACACCTGGGAAGTTTCTGTACCAAAGATATCTTTATCAGTTACTCAAATATAAGATTTCTATTCTCTCTATTGGAACTTGCTATCGAGTCTGCTTGAAGACTTTAGAGTGTCCTTTTATGTACGTGAATATTTCGTGTTGTGAGATTCTAGATGTTACTTGTATCTTCCTACTTTGTTGACACATCTATACAGTAACATCCATCGCATATTCATATCTCGTATCATCCACAGGAATCATCCTGAGATGAGATGGAAATTCATACTGACTAACTTACTCACTCACACATTCAGTCTACCTACCACCACCTTCTAACCAGTATGATATACTGATAAAAGCGCGACCAGTGCCTTCATCCACCCATCTTATCATATATATATATATATATATACATATATCGAATACACTCCCAAACTCAATAACTCTCACAGAATATACTACAGGATTTGATTCTACATATGATCCATCGATAAGAAATTATATTCTGACCACTTGTCTCTTCTTCCATTAGGTGTATGATCATAAGTATATCAAGATTAAGGAGAAATGTATTAAATCCTGTACATGTATAGGGAACCGAAGTTTACTCTTCTACTAAGGTAGTAGTATCACATCACATCACCTTCCCTTCTTCCTCCCCTCCCTCCTCCCCTCACTATAACCCCACCAGCCAGAACAAAACCAACTCAACACGAAACGCCATCCTTCCCTCACCCCCAAAAGAAACAGAAATCAAAACAATCCATCTCATTACAACCTTCCTCACTAATTCCCTGCTCTAACAACCTCACATATCTACCTAGTACCTTTTCTCAACCGTATGCCAATGAATGAATATCCTCAGTAGCTCTTTCCCTCTTATTTCTAAACCATCTTATTATTAAACCAGACTATCTAGACTAGGTAGGCTAGACATTTTCCCTTGGTAGAAGTTCGTAGAAGTCATTCAGTAAGGTATAGATATATGTATATACATATAGTCTGAGAAAACTATAAAAGTGTATTTATTATCTAGGTTCAAGTAGTGAGTATATTATATTGGATATTATAGTAGAAATAGTAGGAGTAGGAGTAGGAGTAATGTATATAATATAATATGATATGATATACTCGATTATACGATTTCATATAATTCCAAATCTATAAATCTACAAACCTACAAATCTACAAATCTAACCTACTTATTTATCTATCTATTCATTCATCTATCTACCCATCTGCCTACGCATCTATCTATTCGCTCATCTATCTACCCACCTACCTACCTCTCTCTCCTAACCTTTCTTTTCCCATTTCCTTCAAAGGCAGTGATATTTGTTATACAATAAAATAGATACATATATATAATGGGAATTTATAGATAAATACATAAAACGTACTTAAATAGAAATATGTACATATAAATCCTCAATCCTCAATTATTTTATTCATTTATTCATACTCATAAACAAAACTTACCTGATACTCATCTACCCATCTCCATTTCTTTCTCTATCTCCATTTCTGTTTCATCTAATACTTTTCCTTTTCCTATTCTTTTCTTCTTCCATACATATAAATAAACCTTCACATCCCCATCCCCATTCAAATACTAACCACCTTTAAAAATATCATACACATCACACATCACACATCATATACATCGCATACATCCAATAAAAACACTAATACCAAAACCCAATATAAAAATCATGAAATCATGAAAATCTCCATCAATATATATATATATATATATAATCCCCTCCCCCTCCCCCTCCCCCTCCCCCTCCCCTAATTCTCTCTCTCCACCTATCTACCTACCTACCAACCTATTCTTCAATCTTTTACCTTAATCTTGATAGCTTTAATTCTCCCTCTCTCTCCT